TAACATGATAGCATCACAAGCCTGTATTCTGTCAGCCATTGCCCCAAAGGACATTGTACATGCATGGCTGAGGTAGTTAGTATATTGTTTCAATAAGCACATGTGGGGTTATTTGAAGGATGGAGGGATAAATGGCTCAGTAAGCCTCACCTTTCTAGTTCTCGGGTCTCGTTTGTGATGGTCGGACCAGGGTGCAGCTGCCTTAGCCAGTTGCCTGCTTCAGCTGGCAAGGCTCATTTCCTGCAAGACATCCCCATGGAAAAGCCGCATGGACCTGCCCTGATGCAACCTAGGTGCTGGAACAGCTGTGTGGAGACCCCTGCCAGCGCTGAGATGCTTACACATTCACTGATTCAGTTTTCCTCCTGAGTCGGCATCATTGTGTGTGTTTTGTGAGATGGAGGAGGACTTTGTGGATTGGTGTTGGACATATGGGCTAAGGTTGGACTTGTGGCCTTGGGCAGCACTGGGTTGGGAGGTTCTTGATGTGCACTTATTCTTTATATAAAACTCTCTCTCATACATGACTGCCTGTGGATTTGTTTCTCTAAAGAACCCAGACTAACACAATGGCTGTAATATGTGTTTATCTAAATATTTCATTAACTCTCAAGTTATTTTAATGTTTTGAAAAAGTAACTCTTACAGAATGAAGTTTTAAAAGTGTGCATCTTTTAATTATATGATTTTACATTTGAAATCCTATAAGGTATACTATTTAAGAAATATATGGTAAAGATATGTATTATATGGGTAAGCATGTACAGAAATAATTTCTTCTAGAAAAATAGGTACAAGTGTAGTCCCAAGATTGCATAGGTTAAATTTGTGTCATATATCTCACTTTTCAAAAATTCTATACTGCTCTATTATCCTTGATATCAATCATTACTTGTACCCTTAGTATATTCCCTTATGCCCTCCCTGCCCCCAAAAAACAAAAACCAAATTTAAATTCACTTCCATCGAGTTCACTCCAACTCATAGTGACCATATAGGACCGAGTAGAATTGCCCATTTGGCTTTCTGAGGCTCTAATTTTTTTTTTTACCAGATTGAAAGCCTCATCTCTGTCAAAAAGCAGCTAATGTGCCCAAACTGGTAACCTTGTAGTTAGCAGCCCAGGATACTACTTGAGCTCCCCACATGCCCCAGGATTCTTCAATTTCCAGGTATAGCTACACAGAACTCACCTCATGAAGAAAAGCGGCTTATGGCCTCCTCTCTGGGGGACGGGCACAGCGGGGTGGGTGAGGGGAGGCGCCGGACAGTGTAATGTAAGATACAA